CATCCACCCACCCATCTACTCATCCATTCATTCCCCACCCATCCATCCATCTGCCCATCCATGCATCTATGCATCCATTCATCCATTTATTCACCCATCCATCCACCCATCCATCCATCCATCCACCCATCGATCCACCCATCGATCCACCCATCCACCCATCCATCCACCCATCCGTCCACCCATCCACCCACCCACCCATCCACCCATCCACCAACCCATCCACCCATCCATCCATCCATCCACCCATCCATCCACCCATCCACCCACCCATCCATCCACCCACCTATCCATCCACCCATCCATTCATCTATCCATCCATTCATACATCCATCCATTGATCCATCCATCCACCAACCCACTTACACATCCATCCATCCATCCACCCATCCATCCATCCATCCATCCACCTGCCCATCCACCCATCCACCTGCCCATCCATCCATCCATCTATCCACCCATCCATCCATCCATCCATCATCCATCCATGCACCCATCCATCCACCCATCCACCCATCCATCTACCCATCCACCCATCCACCCATCCATCCATCCATCCATCCACCCACCCATCCATCCATCCACCCGTCCATCCATCCACCCATCCATCCACCCATCCACCCATCCATCCATCCATCCATGTATCCATCCATCCACCATCCAGTCTCCCACCTATGCATCCACCCACCACCTACCCAGGAGATCATTTCTGCTTTGGACAATCCTGACTAGTGTATGTTGGTCTCCGAGCCAGGAACCAAGGTGAAATCCAAGTTGAGCTGGCTCCTAGCCCATTCAGACACTAACACATGCCCATACCAACAGACAGGATGGGGGCTGGGGATACAGCTCAGTGGCACAGCCCCTGCCTGGCAAGCGCAAGGTCCTGAGTTCAATTCCTGGTACAAAGAAAGAAAGAACACTCCACAGACAGGACAGCCAACAGCTCTCTGGGAACATCTGCAATTCTTTGGGCCCATCTCTGTGACCAGCATAATCCACACTGCTTAGGGTTGAGCCGCAACCCCAGGTCCTGGGTCAGAAGGTCCTGACACCCCACAGACGCCCAGCCCACTCAGCTGTTTCTCTATTGCAGCAGATTTGGAGGCAGATGGGGGCATGTTTCCAATGCACGCTTCTGCGAAGCTGACCCTTGGTTCTCAGCCAGCTCATCCCACAAGCATTCCCTCCGTCAGCAAAGTGGATGACTCTGTTGTAGGCAGCTTTCACATTTAATTTCTGTAGAAGGTCCAGTGTATATCACAGTGAGGCAGAAAGCAAGACACACCTGAGTGTCACAACTCATGTCTTTGTTAAATTAACCTCATTGCTGGATTAACTATGGGTTGGATGCAGACAGGAATAATCCTGAACTCTGTACTGTATCAACCCTAGGCTGCCACATGGGTTTACCTTTTGGTGCTGGGACTCCGAGGAAAGATCCTGTGCCCCTCAGGCTCTGAAGAGGCAGCGTTGGGCGAGGAGGCTGCATGCGGACTCAGCGAGCTGCTGGTTATCACCCTGGCCGGACACCGGTGAGCTGTGTCCACGGCTGTGACTTCAGGAGAACTGGGGTCATGAGCGCCATGCCATGGATCCACAGCTGGGTGCCAATGTGTGGATGCCTGGCAGGTTATAAGACAGCAGGACACTATCAGCGGAGAGGTCTCTTTTATGGGCATTCATCCACCTGTCAATCCATTCAGCTATCCAAACATCCATGCCAGCACTCATCCATCCACCTA